TTTATTTATTTGTTTAAAAACTTTGCTGAAATATTGGTGGTTTCTTGGTTATCAATATAAGAGACGCTTTTTCGTTCGAGATAATTTCAGTTGAATTTTGTAAATTATAAAAACCGAATAGAATTTTTTTATTGGTCGTAAATAAAATTAATAAAATAATTAAAAATGTAGTTAAAGCCAAAGAAAATATTATTAAATATCCAAATGCGCACATATTCCATACTATAGGCCGTAGAAAAACTTTAATATTTCGCCTATAAATTGATGCACAGATATATACAAATTCTTCACAACTTTTGCTTATTCTTCAACTTTTCTTTCCTCAATATCGTTTTTCGTCTTTTTTTTTTTTTTTTTTTTTTTTTTTTTTGTTTAAAAATATTTTTTTTTTTTTTTTTTTTAAAAAAAAAAAAAAAAAAGAAGAAATGTTTTGTAATACACTTATGCAGTCATATACGAACGTCAACGTTTAGTGTCTGCCCACAGTAAGGGTAAAATTCACAATGACAGACAATAAGAATATATAATTTCATATCAAAGTATTAGGGGTTGAAAATGCTTAGAAGCAATCATTGTCCGGGAAGTCGTATACTTTACACTGCTTTAGAAAGCATGCGCATTACTTTACGGACTCATTGTTAAAGAGATGAAGAAAAATTTACTTTACAAGGAATAAACTAAGCGAAAAAATAATTATTTTCTTATTGTAAAAATTCCAGCTAAAAGACATATACGACACATATATATATACACACTATAGTGAGATAAGAAGGAAATTATATTTCCCTCGAGTGAATTTCATATTACACTCAAAAATAAAACGCCGTATATTGGATTTCTCATGATTTTTGATACCATATACTATGGCAATTCTGATGATATTAAATGATATTTGATTTTCCGTCCGTGTGTCCGTGAAAACAATAGAAGATAATGTATTCTATTGTTTACTAAAACACGCCGAAATCTCTTTTTGTATGAAAGTGCTTACACTCGGGCTTTGTGTCTAGTTGTTATGCAATAAAGAACGGAATAATCACAGGAGGATGGGAGCGCCGAAAATAGGATTTTGAATCCCGAATACTGAGGTGATATTCACGATTCTTATCTACTCGACTACTCAGGCCATCCAAAATTTATCTAATCACATTTACTTGTTGATAGATTCTTTCAAATTCTTCAAATTCTAGGAAAAATTAGACAGAAAACTTAAAATTACGCAAACGTATTCTCTCCTCGAATCTATATGTAGCAAAATGCTCGGCAAGGAAGTTTGCAAATCGGCTAAAATTTCGGGAGCTTTCAGAAAGTTGTACAATCTATAAATTTGGGTTTTTTGGTTTTTTTTTTGTCTTCTTGTTTCTACAGTCAGTGAGGTTATATCCCCTAATCCCCATCGTAGATATGGTATTTCAATATGTCGGAAATATTACATCAAAGCGGAAATATTTGGAACTTTGGGCAAGATACTGCTTTAAAGGCCGACAGTGCTTTTAAAGAAGTGCGGACCTAGAGAAATCAGAATAGTCCTATTAAAGAACTAATCACTAAAGTCATTGCGCACCACGTTTCTAAAATTGCACTCTCTATTAAAAATTATGAAAAACTGTCAGAATTATTTGCATTTCGATATCTTATTAACGCTCGGACATCACGAAGGGCCCTCAAGTTTGTTCACGAGACATTCAATCTTTTTTAGTTATGTAAGGCTTTGCGTTAGTTTCAAAAAGCAATCTAAGCAAGTTCCTAATGGTAATGCCCAAGTTTTATTCCGATATTCTGACAAGTTAGAATTTTAAAGGAAGAAAGCAAAGGATTTTAAAATTTTAGACAAGCATTGTAAAGAATAAATCACAAAAAAAAATAAATAAATAAATAAAAATATAAAATGTGTATAAATGTCTTATACTTGACCTTACCTCAAAAACCGGATAAGATATGATTTTCGGAACATACGGCGACATATATCATAGAAGATCTTTAATAAAGACAAATATTCGATTACGTCATAAACTTAAATAAAAGAATAATTTGTGCAAAATTCGCTCTACGGCGGACACTGTTTTCCTTCCCTTTAAGTCTTTCAAAACTTAAGCGCACATACTGAAGCTACGACTTATCTTAGAGATATGACTGATTGACTTTGATGGATATATGCCGCAAAGTTAAGACTTTTAATTGTTGTAATATTTTAGCTACTCGAGCAGTTTCAAAATAATGACTTATATCGATTTGTTTCAAATTTTGCGGTTTAGGGCAGGTAACCAGGTGGCAACAAAAATATGTAGATATGTTTTTTTTTTTTTTTTGGAATCTGCAAGTTAGCCATTTGTGATGTGCGTATCGTCGAGGGGTCGATTCAAATGGGATTCAAAATATTTGAAATGCTCAATGCTATCCAATCAAAGTTAATTCTCTGCATACATAAATTCGAATGATTTCACGGGTCCGCACGTAAGTCATTCTTTTATTCTCTGATGCATACCGAACTATTGCCCCGATCATCAACAGAAAAGACGTCGTCTTTCATCATCTTTACCTGTCTTTGCGTACCTCTAATGAGTGGGAAAAAATTGAAAGGGCTTTGCTAGGAAGCTGTAATATAACCATTCAACTATCTGGCGCCTGACTCGCCCAATTCCCATCCGTTTCGCTCCAGATTTCTTAATGGTAGTATACCTTCTTTAAAACGGTTTTGCGAAAATTATCCGGTTTAGTGTTTCGCCTAGAAGCCCCACGAAGCTCTACGCTGATGACATAATGGATTATGCAGAAAAATGCGAAAAGGGTATCAATCGAAACGACTCGGCT